GGGATCCGGCTGTGCCAAAAAGCAGGAAATCCTGTGCTCCTGTCATAAAAGGCCATGCATCCCACTTTATGTTGACACAGAAGCTGGTTCAAAATGGCAAACTAGACCCATAGATCTATTTCCAAATGTGCCAATGGATACAATGAAAATATATTCTAGCTATTCACCTCTAACCCAGGGTAGTGATATCTTGATGTAGGGCAAAAATGGACACATTCAACTATTATCATGAGTTTCAGATATGCATGTGGATATCTCTGGATTGAATACCATATCTTGAAATGATTTTTTAAAGTTGTGTCATGAAAATGCTCTCAATAGTAGAGATCCCTAGACTTAAAATGAAGAATACAAAGTTGATCTAAAATGTTAACTAGCCGCTTATGCAAAAATTAATCTGTGCTGAAATACAGAGGGGATAAACCTCTATTTCCTTGAGCCCAATTACGTCACTGCCCCAATTACAGCAGAATAGCTGGCATACTTCCTAAACATTCCTTCCTATAAAATAATCTTTCATGATAATTCATGGAGTTTCACGATAATTTATGGAGCTGTTGCTTGTATGCATTAACAACAAATACATTTTAAGAGCCAGTAAACATAACTTTATAAACTTTTAAAATAAGAGTTTATGTTTTACTATATCATTCGGCAATCTCCTATGAGTTGCAGACAAAGTTTTACTGGCATAGTCTGTAGCTTTTAATTTGAAGACACAAAATCATCATGTCAATACTTTGGAGCTACGTTTAACAACAGACTCATAAAAATACCTGGGTTATGACTCTGGCATGCTACTCCATAAATATTGCCAAATAGAAGATATTGCAGAATAGTACTACATAAAAGCTGTTGAGATGAGAAGTCCTTTCCCACTGGATAATTCTGAGCTGATTGCTGTTTTCTTTAGGCATCAGTAAGAAAGCCCTACAAGTTACACTCAAACATCAGCTGGCATCCTGTTCAGCTGTTACAATATTTTAAAATGGACTTAAAGTGAAGGTAAAGGTTTTCCCCTGACATTAAGTCCAATCTTGTCCGACTCTGAGGGGTGGTGCTCATCTCCATTTCTAAACCAAAGAGCTGGCATTGTCCATAGACGCCTCCAAGATCATGTGGCCGGCATGATTGCATGGAGCCCTGTTACCTTCCCGCTGGAGCGGTACCTATTGATTTGCATGTTTTCGAACTGCTAGGCTGGCAGAAGCTGGGGCTAACACCGGGAGCTCATGCCGCTCCCTGGATTCGAAGCTGTGACCTTTCAATCAAGTTCAGCAGCTCAGCGGTTTAACCCACCGCGCCACCGGGGGCTCCATAATATGTAAAATGGACTTATAATGTCGTAACTGATGAGAATTCACACTTACACTCTTGGATCAGCAAACACCAAAAATCAACCTCTGCCACTTGATAGTGTCCCAACCGAAGTGTTTCTGAAGTGCTGGAGATCAGAGTGCTGGGAAATTATGTCCAAATGCTCTCCTGGCTGTGGGATGCCTTCAGATAAGCATTGGTGTCAGAACCCCAAGGCATCCTGTGACTAGGAAGAGGCTGCAGATATCAACCAAGATTCAATAGAAGGCATATAGCCACAATGTTGTGGTTACGCTGTCTCTCACTCTGATTTTCCAAGCCAACTTTAAAATCCAGCCAGCCACAATGAGGGACACATTCTGCAGTGCTGGTGAGGAGGATACTCAAGGATGACAAGTGCACTCCTTCCTACCAATGATCCATAGTGCAGGGAATAGAAGAGGGGACCATTGTAGGGTCTTGTCCCAACTGCGCAGTACACCAAGACTTGCTGGAAGTAAAGGACTGGATATATCATCCTTCAGCACGTTGTTCAGTGCCACAGAATTCCACCCTTTTGTGCAGTTGGCTGGATTTCAAGGTGGGTTTCAGGGGCATTTACAATCACAGCAATGGCACCATTCATAGCAAATGTGCTAAGAAGGTGACAGCTGTCATTTTTGGTGTACTGATCTCCATCACTTCAGAAATGCTTTGCCAGGGTGCAAAGGTAGTTTGGGGGCAGGTATCACTAGTCATAACCATGATAATAGAGTTCTGCAATTATGATCTCAATACAAGATGTTGGCCATCATCTTCAGGGTGTTGGAGAAACATGGTTAAAAGCCAGGAAATCTGAACAAATATCGTTACTCTAAGACTCACATTCTTGGATTCTGAAATAGTGAAGGTCCCTGTTTTCCGGTTCAGTATCTGTAAGTGCCCACAATGGTCAGAGAGGTCATCCTCTTGATCAGATCACAGAAAAGCCCCTTTGCAATAACCAATATCCCTCTAGCAATGCTGGTTGAGGGAATTCTATGGCCAAAACCTACTCAGTGCCTGAGGTACATAACATCCCACTGGCCCACTTAGGTGAATAGCCAACCAGGGGTTTTGTAGCTCAAGAAGTCACAATATGATACAGTTTTTTAGCTCAAGTAGTCACAATATGATACAGTTTGCCCTTCTTTGAATGCAACTCTATGTTGAGATTTTTCATGTGGTGAGGAAAATGAGGAAAATGTAGGTTGCCAGCTGTTCTGCTGTAAAAGAAAAGCAGTGCTTTGCTGAACAATTTTTCCGAAGCAAATCAGCACTCATTATCACTACTGTGGGTTGGATCCAGATTGAAGTCAAATTACATGTGCTGTTGAATACATAGATCTTAATACTACTAGTTAGTTCAAAGTGGAGTAGAAACTCTCAATCAAATCTTGAATGGCATCAAGACATATGCTAATCCCATTCATTTTATAGGTCTACTCTAGTTCAAACAATACAATTCAGCCATAGTGTGCACTATAGGCCTTATTTTCCTTAGTCTACAGCAGGGCTTCTTAAACTTTTCCACTCATGATCTCTTTCAATCTGAGAAACCTTTATGTGACCCCAAGTATATTGGTATATAAAACAGGTATAAAAATAAAACATTTACTAATGACAAATTGGCATTTGCAAGGCTTTCTTTTTTATAATTTTTTTGTTTTATAAAGTACAGCTGAAGCATCTTCTGCAGGGTCCACTATAAATGTCTAAAACAGCTATTAGGTGATGTTCAGAAACCTTTTGCTGTTGCCAATTTTTTAGGAACCCAATATTGAGGTAAGGGAACTGTATTTGGGACCAATACTCACAGTTTAAGAAGCTCTTTGTAGCCTCAATCCAGACTGGACTCAGTATATGCATGTAGGGGAAAGACAACAAGCTGTTATCACTGGTGGGTCCCCCCCCCAATTCCCCTTCCACACTTTTTTAAAATAAAAAAGCAGATGGGGACGATTTAAATCTTCACTTGCATGCACTGAGTCCAATCTAGAACGGGGCTGCGTACACCTACTACAGAGCAAGAAGCAGACTCAAACCTGCATATTGAATGTGTTTCATCTATTGGCCTGAATCCTATTAGTAATGTCTGCTAGAGCACACCTATACAAATGAGTAGAATTTACATACGCATTGGCACATTGTTCAACAATAGATTCAATGGGTCTCCTATAGCTGGGCTGACAAATAGGATTCAGACTAATGACCCTACATCATCCTGAAGATCACAATGCATTGAAATTGGGGAAAACAATCAAATCAGGAATGTGTTATTTAAGAATGGTTGTAATTTAATTATGACTCATTTTGGACCAAGTATTATTAGGGTTCTCTCAGTATTGGAGAAGACACAACCTTGAGTCATGGTCATCATAACCACTTAGGACAGTAGTTCTCAACCTGTGGGCCACCAGGTATTTTGGCCTACAACTCCCAGAAATGCTGGCCAGGTTACCAGTTGTTAGAATTTCTGGAAGTTGAAGACCAAAATATCTGGGGACCTACAGGTTGAGAACCACTGACTTAGGATTATGTAGATAAGGGCTTAGCTGCTGAGAGAGGCTGAGGTTTGTGGCCATGAGGCATACTCAGATATGCTTCATATGACCGATGCTGGTGGGATTAGTCAAAGTGCTTTGAAGGATTGGATCCATAATGCTTTCTAATGTGCTAGGATCAGTTAGTTAAGAGGGGAATCAGTATCTTGGGGGAAGGAAGGGGGGAGCAAATAAACTGAAAGACAATCCCATCTCTAGTTTTTTACCAAGTGCTTTGGTTCTCAGCATTATGCTGAACCACTCATAAAAGCATATTTTGTTATTTACAACAGGTAGTGTTCTACTTAACAGAAGTCCCTGCTTTTTCTTTTTTAAAAAAAGATCATGCATACAAAGTAAAATTTGACCCTACCATTATCTTGACCTTATGTCTCTGCCCTGAACCTTCCTGCAACTTCCTCCAGCCTAATGATTTCCAGCTGTGCTGGACTATAACTCCAGAGTTGGCAAGTGTTTTATGAGAATTGTAGTCCAGCGCTGCTGGAGGAACTTGGAGGAGGCTTGGGAACATCCACAGAAGGTTGGTGTGCCATATCTGTAGAGCTGCCACACCACACAGAGAAAAATGACAGCTTCAACCCAAACCAAGTAAAAGGCAGCCCATCCTGTTCTCATGGCAAAGGTAAAGGGTTACGAAGAATCCCTGTAGCTGGAGTATTTTCAAAAATTGCTTTCTGCAGCGAAGGAGTCCACTGAGTGAGATGGATGATGAAGAATCCTCCTTGGGTTTTCCTCACAAAACCAAAAGTTGACAGCGAGCCAAAGATCCTCCAGGGATGATTCTTGAAAATTGTCAAAGGCAGGTAGATTCCTCAGAGTGGCTCTCTGTACCCGTTCTCATCTTTCTAAGGTGCTCTCAGACAGAAAGAAGTGCTCGGTAGAAATACTGTCCCAGAAGAATGACAGGCCTTGTTTGAGCTTTTATCTAATGTGTTTATGCCCAAGATGACACCAAGGGCTTCAGCGTTCTTTGGAGTCCGGTGGAAAAAATGCCTGGAGTGAGTTAGCAGGTCAATGAAGAAAAGACGGTATGAATGAATGGCAGGTCTTGGGTGCATATGAAGGAATCCACACAGCACTGTTTTAAATATAAGTGCCATCTTTTGGCATGATTCTTGCCTTGGGTGGTTTGAGTTGCTGAATGTTGTGCCAACAGGTTTTATGGCATAGTTCTACCCAGTAGAGGAAAACCTTGTTTTAAACTTTATTTTAAAAAGGCAGTTCAGGAGATTTACATTGTACACAATGGAGAGATGAGCAGTACCAGCACTTGCGGTTCTTTTCAGTTACGTCTTGAAGATGGTGGAACACTCAGTTTTTATGGTCTATGAAACCTAAAATGAAAAGAGGTGAACATTGGGGGGATACTGTTAATATCAACACAAATATACTTTTAACACAGAGAAACAGATTTTGCTAGTGCAGTTAGTTTTCAGCAATGTTTAGTGCATGACTTGTGATAGATTTGTTGGGTCCAGGTCAGGACAGTTGAAATACAGTGTTTCCTCACTTATCACGGGTGTTACGTTCCAGGACCACTTGCAAAAAGTCAAAATACGTGAAGTAGGAACGCTATATAGGTATATTGCGTTCTGAGGGTGAGGCAGAAGTGAGGAGAGATTTAAAAGCACCACATTTTTTTTGCTAGCTATCTCTGCTTTGCTTTGCAATCTCTCTTGACTGGCTGTCTCTCTCCAGAGGGGGAGAGTGAAACCCACTTCCACACTCCATCATTGGCAGGAGGTGGGATTAGAATGCCACTCTGGGCAATGGAAACCATTCATAAACTGGGAGGCAAAAACCCATAAAACAGCGAGTCTGCAAAAAGCAAACCACGAAGTAGCGAGGGAGCACTGCACTCAAAATCAGAATGAGGCCAACAAAGTTTGAATCTACACTGAGGGCAGTTTTACCCCGTTATTGCCACACAAACTTGCTTTAATCCAAACTGAAATCGGTTTGGAAAGCCATATGGAACCTCCATCTTATAGGCACATTGGTACAAGGGAATGTTTTGTGTATGCCTATGTTCAATGTATCAGCTTATGTCTGCAACTGCTGCTGAGATTTTGTTGATTCCTGCCATGCATTCACATATTTACATAATCATATAGCATTTCTATTTTCCTGTTGTTCTGAATTTTTTTTTGTGTCAGGAGCAACTTGAGAAACTGCAAAAATATTAAAAATTATGCAGGAGAAGAAAGGTCATGTGACCACAGAGTCACATCTTACAAAAAAATATATAGCCCTGAAACTCTAACATAATTATCTTTCTTCTCTTGTATGATTTCTTACACCTTGCCTGATGAAGAGACCGGTGAAACTTTGATAACTTGCATTATTTATTTTATGCTTTGGAGCTGCTTTGTGGATTTTGTTACATTATGGAAGATAGATAGATAGAGATAGAGAGAGAGAGAGAGAAGAGAAAGAGAAAGATCTGGGAAAGATCTGGGAATCATTTCCCATTAAGCAGGATGGGAAAGAGAGAGGGTAACCACTAAACTCTGTTCTTGGGGTGGCGATATATAATCTAAAGTCATTGCAACCATCTTCGATGACCTCAATGCAAATAATGGCCAATTATCAGAAAACCAGATGAAGATAAATCTACTGTGTGCTTCTATGAGCTACACTGCAAAAGGTCAGCAAAACTTTATTCTCCAATCACATCTTCTTTGACACAAGATTTGTTTCACTCTCACAAGAACTAATTTATCTGCCAGGCAAGAAAAGCAATGATTCAGAGATTATGCTGGAGAAAATGCATTACTCATAAGAGATCATTACCTTCCTAATGATTTTATGATGAGTACTTACTGAGAGTTTGCTTAAAAGGATGACTGTCTCCCAAGTACATTCTGTGTCTTTTTTGTAGCAATAAAGAGACCATTAGAATGGTTGATAAAGAAGCTGCCTGGTCAATGAGCTTCATTTACGCTTCACTTCCATATGAATTTGAAACATGAACATACTGGAAGCTAGTGGTCGAAGGTTCCCATAGAACAGTGGTTCTCAACCTGTGTGTCCCCAGGTGTTTTGGCCTACAACTCCAGAAATCCCAGCCGGTTTACTAGCTGTTAGGATTTCTGGGAGTTGAAGGCCAAAACATCTGGAGATCCACAGGTTGAGAACCACTGTTATAGAACAACCCAAAACTTTACATATGCATTACATGTGTGTAGGTCATCTATGTGTTGAGGCAGGAATGGTTCTGGAGAGCTCTATTCAGCTCATATAATGAGCTGCATTTGCTAGAACTTGGCAAAGTTAGTTTACATGGATCAGAACTCCCAGAATTCCCAGCAAGCATAGCTAATGGCCATAACTGATTGAGGAGTTCTGAGAACAGAAGTAAAATTTTACAAGCTTTAGTGTATAAATATGACAATAAGCTTGCATACTTGAATTATTCAACCCCATCCTCTTGCGTGGAGATAGGAATACAAAGGTGCTTTCTATATAAAATGTGCTCCATAGCCTCTTGGTCCCTGGATGTTCACCTTTAATGACACAAACCATTAATTGGAATAGAGACTATTTTTTTTCAAATGATCAGGGTTGCATATAATCCCAAGTATAGCAGACCCATTAATTCAACAATTGGTTCAATGGGTCCACTTTAGTTGGGATGAAGGACTGGATTTAGGCTCATGATGGAACATAGCATTAATAATAAGTGTTCTTTTTTTGTTAAAAAAGTTTTGTCTCACCTTGTTAAATGCCTGCTTAATTCATGAACTTCCATTTCAGTACTTTTAAATTCGTTGAGCTCTTTGCGTATGGCGGCCTGCAAATGGCAACAAAAACAAGCATGCTTTAGGCATCTGTGAAGAACTGTAATGGCATTCACTTTCCAAATTGTCAACAGAAAGACCCTAATGATGCCTGCAGCGAGAAAGTGGAAATGATCAGCAACTCATGCAAAATAATAATGCCTTCCAGAAAGAGCTTAGAAATGTTACATTTTTGGACTGCAACTCCAAGAGGCAGGTCGGATGTGGGGAACGGTTGCCTAAATTAGTAATGTTTCCAAGATCTCCTTCTAGATTAGTAGTTTTCCAGAGGAACAACACAACACACCTTCTGAAATATATCCATAGTTTGGTCAAATTTGTTAAATTTATCATGGACTCAAAACCTTTACATCAGGGATAAACATCGATGGCAGATAGTAGGACAAGTTTTGCTACCCAGTGTGGGATACACTGCCACCATTTTCATGTTTTTGTCATTTCCAGACACTTTCCAAGATGATTCCTTGGCCTTTAGGGATGGCTTCCTGTTCCTAAACAGCATTTGAACTCAAAGTACTGCCCCCACAGTAATTTTCCACCACAAAATTACATTTTGCGACCAAATTTTAAAATTTGAACATAGAGGTGTAGGGAGTCCAAGGATTACATGAGATATTCCCCCATCTCCCAAAAAACCCAGACAGTCTGTGAGCTGCACAATTTGACCTGTTTTATATGTTTCAGCTAATGCTATTTTGTGCCTTCAAGTAATTTGAAGTGTACAGTGATCCTATGGTGACACCATCCTGGATTTTTCATGGTGAGATTTACTCAGAAGAGTTTTTCCACTGCCTTCCTCTGAGAGTGAGTGAGTGAGAAAGAGCAACTTGGCCAAGGTCATCCAGTGGGTTGCCATGGCTGAGCAGGGCTTTGAACTCTGGTCTCTACAACTATGATTGGAATCTATATGTGCATAATAAGGAGCAAATCCCACAAATCAATAGGAGTTCTCCAAGTATGCAAGTCTAGGGACCTTATCATATTGGGATATGCTCTGTTTTTATCAGTATTCGTCTAGTATATTTTTTAAGGACTGGATGCATACTGACCCCATCACACCAGATTCTTACGTTATGAAAATACTGTGCTTTGACGCATCACAGCACAGGCTCCTCCCAATCTGTTCAAATGCCTCCCTATATCACTTTTTATTTTCTAATATTGTGCAGTGAGCTAACTTAACCTAGAAGTCTTAAACTACAGTCCTAGTGAAATTTAATGACGGAATGCATAATGATTTTACGATCATGTGTAAAAACAGTGCCTCAGAACTGTATTAAATTAAAAATCATGATTAGAATCTCATGTGCAATTGTTCTGTTTCTGCAGTGTTTTGCAGATGGATTGTAACGGATTATTGACAGAATGGGAAAAACATAATGTGATAGAACCCTCTGGAATCATGTTCAAAGAGTCTCAGAAACTGAGTATATGCCAATGGGATAAGGTTGTTGTATGCCTCTCTTTGCATTAAAAGGGGAAAATATACTTTAAAACAGTGGTTCCCAATCTGTGGTCCGTGGACAACCAGTGGTCCGCAAGAAATAAAATATGGTCCATGGCCTCACCGTTACTACACCATTGCAATGCCCCATGGATCATGCCTCCTACCCTGTGTCTATGTGCCCATGGGGTGGAGGTCAGAGAAATAATAATAATACCCTGCCTCCCTCTCTCTAAGGGGCCTCGGGGCAGCTAACATGGGGCCAAGTCCAAATAATCATAATAAAGCAAAATAAAATACATACAAGACACATGACAACATCAAGTAAAAATGCTTATACAATAACCTAATAAAACAATAAGATAGTAATGTTAACATAATAAAACAGAGTATAAAAACAGAACAAGAATTTAGACGAGGGCGAGCTAGGTCAAAGTTTAAAACCTGTGGGTGAGGCAGATAAATAAACTGCTGTATTTAGAGACTCGGGTGGGATAAATAATGAGGTTATTCTCAACTGAGGGATGAGATAAAGTGCATCAGAAAGCTATTAGGCACAGTTTCTTGGGTTTCGAGCTCCGCTTTTTGTATTTTTTTCAACCTCCGCCCCCTCCCCTCCCTTTCTTTTCTTTTCTTTTCTTTTGACATGAGTGTTAACACAATCCACGGAAAATAACAGCCCAACCAAAATTTTTTTGTGTGTTTGTGTCTTCATTTTTAGGCCTGTTCCTGGGGTTATTTGGTGGGCTGATTCAGAAAATTGCACTGGATAGACTATATCACTTCTAGATTATTAAACATGGTTTTCTGTGGGTGAGCAGATGACGACTACTGGATGGCAAATGTTCTGTAGCAGAAACTAAAGCTGATGTGGTTTATCCAATGCAATTTTCTGAATCAGAACCCCAAATAACCAAACCAAATCTAAAGTTGACCAAAATCAGAATCGCAACCCTTTTGGTACTAATGTTACAGAGTGGTCCCTGGTCAAAAAAGGTTGGGAACCACTGCTTTAAAAAGTTGTTAGTAATAAGCCATGTGGCCATGAAAATGGTAGCCTTGTAGCCATCTTATTTATTGGGAGCACAAGTTTCATCGTATTTTGCAAGCAAATGACAAATACGAAGTGAAATTAAATGGCTCCTTTGTGAACACTGTCAGCTTGACTTTTTCCCAAGACATGATAAAAGATGTTCACAAATAGGAGCAGGCACATCACTAACTGCAAAACGACAATGGGGCTAGGAAAGTGAATCAACTGGAACAATGCACACAACCTCTTTTGGTAGCAAACAAATACTGAATGATTTGTCACATTCCGTCATGACATTATCTCCTGTGCTGCTTATTTTAGTCTGATAAGCTTGAGAAACAAGGGCAAGTCAAAGGAGAGGTCTACTAAATCATGCATAGTGAGGAGGAATTTTATATCCAATTTCTTTTCTCCTCCTTTCACCAGACTGGAACGTGGAGTCACATAATGAAGCCGAATGAAGATTTAGGATACATAAAAAAGAAGTGCTTGTTCACACAGCATGTATAAGTTGATCTCATGTATAAGTTGAGGGCTGGTTAATCCAAATTATGGATTTTGATATGACCAGTGAATACATCAAGGGTCATTCCACAGAGAAGGGAAAAGCATGAATGCCACCTCAGAGGGCCAGTCACTCCTGATCGTGGCCATTTTCTTACCCAGGCATTCTAAAACGTTTTTCACTACTCTACTCAAAGAAGGGAATGGTTCTTTTTTAAATCAAAGTCAGCATACAATAGAGTGGCAAAAGGGGAGATCTTAGTGGTGAGAACCTGAAACTTGCTCTGAACTCTCAATACTCCTTTAAGAAGTGCCAACGAGTTGTTCCCACCATTTCCCTTGCAAGCACTCCTGTCCAGGAATCTCAACAGTTAGGGCAGGTACAGACATTTGTCCTTCACAGAAAATACCCACAAAGAAATATAACAATTTACACACAGAGTTTGCCCTATTTGAGAGCAGTGTTCAACCTGAGGACCACTTCCCTCTAAGCTCCTCCTCCTTACTTTGTCAGCAGCTGTGAGCCGTGTCCATGGTTTATCGGCCCGCCTGTCATAGTCCTGAGCATCTGCCACTTCCACGTAATCGCTAAAGCGGATGAGAATTTTCCTCTCACGCAACTCTTCCACCGTAGGCCTTTGACTTAACTGTAGGAACAAAGGGGAAAAGTTACTCCAAAATGTCAAATTTCCATGTTTTTATGATAGAACCAATTAGGAAATGTTGGAAAGAGCAACCTTCTACAAGCCTCCTATACTAATTATTTGTCATGTATATAATTCAGATTGCTTACTATATTGTATATGTGTGTATTGGGATGTAGCTTCCTTAACTCTATGTTGTTTAAGGTTGTGGGAGGGACTGCAGACCATGTGATCAGATCTAGGACTATTCAGACTGAGACTCAGTTTTAGTGTTCAGTCAGTATTATATTGTATTGTATTGTTAGTGTTTGTTATGCATTAAACGTAAGACAGAGAAGAGATTGCAACAGAATGCCTTAGAGAACTTGCCGTTAAACTTTCAACTGATAAGCAATGTACTTGTATGCTGAATACATGAAGTTTGTTAATAAACCAACTATGTTACTTTTAACAAAGTCTACTTATTTTGTCTCTTGAGAGCATGATTTAAAACAAAATACATTTTATGGTAGATTTTTTTTTGGGAAACTGAAGATCTGCTATATATATTTGTGCATTGGCATAATCTTTGTTCATAACTGTTCAAAGAGATAACCAGGTATATCAGTCTAACAACTGAGAAGCCTAATTTGCCTTGCACGAATACTAGTGGATATATACCACTAAAGAGAAGATTCACTCAAATGAGTTTTAGCTCAGGAAGATCATACATTACAAAAAGGTTATGATTTTCCAAATGGGTTGAATGCCAATTAATTTCCAAAAGGTCAGACTTCTAAAAGGGTTTGGATGTAGTGGTTTTCCAAAAGTTTATGATCTCAAAGGTCATCCTTTTCCCAAAAGGAAATGACATTTAAAACCCAGGAACAAAAATCATGTTACATAGTATAATGTGCAAACATGGCTATAATCACCTATCAGACAGATGCTGCATTCCTTAGATTACTCTGAAGCAATCAAACTTGTTAAATGTAATTCAACAATTATTCACATCTCATTTTTGACCTGGGGCCTTTTCACACAATAATTGTGCTATGATTCCCCTATAACTGTCATAACAAGATCCTAAGAATCCTGGCATCTGCAGTTTGATGCAAAGAAGAACCAGTGTAATGCGTTTGAACACTTTACCAAGACTCTGGAGATCAGTGCTTGAATCCCTTTTCAGTCATAGAAACCCATTTGTGACTTTAGGTAACTCGAAGGAAGGAAAGACAAACCCTCTCTGAATATTTTTTTTCCAAAAAACATTCCAATACATCTTTCAAAGAAACCTTAGGGTCACCATAAGTCAAGAATGACTTGAAGGCACACAACAGCAACAACCTGCAAATCCAAGGATTCCATAGGGTGCTGCCATTGCAGTGAAAGTGGGCTATAGAGCTATAATTGTATATGCTAAAGGGCCCTGAATTGGGAAAGAAAACTTATGTATGGTAATCTACATATGAGTTGGACTGAGATACAGTGGACCAACTGAAGTGGCTTGGTGGCTGGTCATGTGAGCTCCCACAACACTGATTTTGAGTACCCCACTCTGGATCAGCACCAGTGCAATATGGTATTACGTAAATAGGCCTGAGCCAAGCTATGGGAAAAGTTGAATTATTTCAATGTATTCATTATCACGTTATACTTCACATTATTCTTAGTAAATAAAGCTTAAGTCTTCTTAACTTATCCATTTTGTTTTTCCAGTCCAATTTGAATGCTCATTTACTCAGAATTCCCATCTAAGGTGAAAGAAGAGCTCAGGCGTCTAAACCCTTACATTTTATCAGATTATTCAGACATGCTGTCAGTGACCTAGTGACCAGAGAGCACTTGTCATGGAATCAATCTTTGTTGTTCCAAAATAATTCTAAAGCAATGTTGTCAAAAAAGTGGGTCAACTATATTGAGAAAAGCTCATACAAAGCTGATGCAGTATGACTGAAGCTCATGTATATCACAATTGACTATATACATTTGCCAAAGAACATAATATAACTGCAGTGGATTTCTTTCTTTTGAATGCACACAAACGTTTAATAATGTCAGCAAAATTACAAATGTTCATTCAACAGCAGTATCCTGCTGAGATTGATCAAGAAACATGTATGTCAGTTTATATTATATGATTCATTGCAAGTTGAGTGGCAGATAAAGGCTAACTTTTGCTCTATTTGTCAGAGGCTGCTCTTGATAGAATTCCAAAAGGGGATGCTGTGACATTGGATTTGGGTCCCATGACCCCATTGATCTTTGCCCTTTCCCTCATATCAGTTAGGATCAGCTTGTAAGTAACCAAGTATGGCAACTGAGTACAAGAATTGCCAAATATGAAATTTGCAATGAGTGAAAATGTGAAATGGTGCAATGATAACAGGAACGGCCTTAGATGTGGATATTAGATTTTGTGATTTTAATAATTTTAATGTTGAATTGTTATAGTGATTATTTTTTATGCAGATGTATATGTTTATTTGCTGAATATGTATTGTATTGTAAGGTATCAAATTGTGCCTTTATGTGTGCCGCTCTGAGTTCTTTTAGGGGTGAGATTGTCAGGATATAAATATGGCAAGTAAATAAATAAATGCAATTACTTTAAAAAAATTCAATAAACTTTGAAGGCAATCAAACATACACTCAAACATTTGTAGAATTTATATATAAATATAATATTTATAAATATATATTAATATAAATATAAGCATTTATATAAAATGTTTATTCTTTATCCAAAATGCTTGGGATCAGAAATGTTTTGGATTTTGGAAAATATGAACATAGTTAAAGATCTTGTAGATGGGACCCAAGTCTCAACACAACATTCATTTATGTTTGGGCCACCATTTCCTGGCCAATAATCATGCTATCATACAGTACGACCCCCATATCAGAAGGGGACATGTTACAAGACTTTGTGTGGATACAAGGAACTGTAAAGCGAATCCTATTGAAGTGAATGACTTCTAACCCAGGCATACCAGTTGCACTAGAGAGCTATGGCCCCATCTATACTGTCATATAATCCAGTTTGAACAGCATTATAATGGCCAATGCAGACTCCTATAATGCAAATTGAACCACACTGAACTGAATTATAAGAGTCTACATTACCATATAGCCACGTTCAATGCAGTTAATCTGCATTCTGATGCTGGATTATATGGCAATGTAGATGGGGCCTTAGTGTGTCTCTTTATTTCTCATATTGTGGATGACTTTTGCAGAGTTCTGGGGTTTGTAGTTTAATGAGGCCCAGGACCTCTCTGGCTGAGAATTTTAAAGGCCCCTTTATTAGTTCTGATGGAGCTATACTTTCCTCCTGAGAGTATAAACATTGTGTAATGTGTACATGATTTACAATTATGCAATTTACCAACAGGATGCCAGCCATTTTTGTATATCTATTCCAACCTGAATGCTCCTTATTCTCGATATTCATTTATTATCATCACCTCAAAGCTTTACTCATTTCTTGTTCCTTCCTGATTTTAAATCTTTGCCAGTATCGTTTCTTGTTTCTTTTGTCATCACACTGATTCCCTATCCATGCTGCAGATGTCTCTTTCCTTCTACCCATTCAGAAACTTGAGGTAGGAGCCTATTTAAAGTTTTGCATGGACATGAGGTGTGTTTGCTGCTTGGAAATATGTTTTTGTACGGAGCAGGACCTATGGTTTGCAGAATTAGAAAGTTTTGCATGGGACTGGAGTTGTAGTTTGCAGCCTTAGAAGGTTGCAGTACTGTACTGCTCCATGCAGCGCAGTACTGCAACCTTCTAAGGCTGAAAACTGCAGTTCCAGTTCCATACAGTACTGGTATTCTGGTACTGAAGATATAGAGTAGTGGCTCTGAGCCTACTCAGCATGCCTTTTTATCTCAATAGAGAAATCACATTCTGCAGCTGCTTATTATAGGAAATGCAGTCAAGTAAGAATTCATTATTTCTACTGAGGTTTGAGTATGACTCTTGCTCTTCTGTTAGGAAATGTACAAAAAGATAGTACGGAATTGTGCACAAACTAGAAAACCACCTTGTTTCTCCTACTGATGTGCTCTTATCCGTTTCTCCCTCAATGCCAGTGGTTCTCAACCTATGGGTCCCCAGATGTTTTGGCCTTCAACTCCCAGAAATCTAATAAGATGGCTGGGATTTCTGGGAATTGTAGGCTAAAACATCTGGGGACCCACAGGTTGAGAACCACTGCTCTATGCAGTGGTTCCCAATCTTTGGCCCTTTAGATGTCCTGGACTTGAACTCCCAGAAATCCCAGCTATCTTACCAGCTGTTGGGAATTGTGGGAGCTGAAGTCCAAAACACCTTGAGGGCCAAAGCTTGGTAATTACTTGTCTACACAGGCTCAGCAGCCTATACTCTCTGTGCAGCTGCTCCTGGCTGTCATGATATTCTGCCACACCTGGTGCTTACTGTGGTATAAAGCAGGTTATCTCTGTTCAGTCTCATGTTAAGAAAAGTTGAAGGGATTTAGTTAAAGCTCCAGAGCAATATCATGGCTTTGGCACAGCATGGACATCAGGACCAGGACCAATTCAGACCGGTTCACTGTCCATGCAGGCTGCTGCCACCACACATTTTCCCTGTGTTCATCAGTGCAGGGGCCAGGGGATGGAGTAGGTCTGTGTTGCTGTCACTGCTACTGCCAAATGGCCACAGAGGCCTGTAAGAACTCCTGGCTATTGTAGGTGTCCTGTGCCATCAGCAAAGTGCCCTGCAGAATGGGAGATCTATGACTATCTGGCAGTAGCAAAGGTGGTGGTCCGGTGGACTGTCTGCAGGTTGAGAACAGAATGTTTGACTGCCTTCAGGAACCCTGGATTAAACAGGAAGCGTAGATGAAATTTAAGTTTGCCCCAGCAAAATTTTGCTGGTTCTTAAGTTTTGTACCTCTACTCCAATGGTTCCCAACCTTTTATTCTCCAGGTGTTTTGGACTTAAGCACCTACAATTCCTAACACCGGGTAAACTGGCTGGGATTTCTGGGAGTTGCAGTTCAAAACACTTGGAGGAACAAAGGTTGGGAACCACTGCTCTATTCAAAGACTATGTTTATATGGTGGTGGAAGAAACTAACAATCTCTGCAGTTGTGTAACTGTGAACACACAAATTTGCCTTATGCTTTGGCCCTATCAATGTACTATAGTGATCCACTTTATGGAGTGCTAGCTCAGTTCGAAGTGCAGACTTCACTGAATAACCAAGAATACATTTTGTTTTTACCGCTGCCACCATAATACCTCAATGTAATTATCATTTTATGTGTAAATCTAAACTATAAGCAACAAATTCCCCAAAGCCTTACATTAAATATCAAAGATGGAACAAAATAGAATTCAAAGATAAATTTTCTCCTCCATCCTTTGCATTGTTAACGGGACTCCCTCTACATCCATATTCTAAATAAAGGATGAAGTATCCGTGTTATCACTGAGTTCAAAGCTTTTTACTATTTGTCAGAGATTTCGGGATACTATTTAAATGTAGAATGCCTTTCAGAAACATTATGTTCTATTTATATTTTTTGTGACAAGTGATCAAAGTAGAAATGCTTGTAGTTGTATACAGACTTAGAAAGCAGTGATATAAAAGAAACCACTTTTCACTGTTGCTAGTAAATGCTTTGTTTCATAGAATGAAACAGAAGCGATACTCTGATTTAGAATAGCCAGGAATGCTGAACAACGTTTGATTCTTCAGAGCTGTGACTGCATGAAGGGTATACTGTATGTCCTATTTATAAAGCAGAATGAGCTGGTGGTGATTCTTCCTTGGACCAAATGTCCCTGGATCTCCATCATACATATAAAAAGCCCCAAAAGATTAAAGCAATGAAGTCACTAGAAGACTACAAAAGAATGGACCAGAATAGATCCATTGAATCAGTTGTTGTTTTGTGAGTCTATAGAGGCAAATCCAACTGAGATAACAGCTCTACTCTAGTTGAACTAACTAGAAAATTCAACTACCAGAAATTCTAACAGTTGGTAAACTTGGGATTTCTGGGAGTTGTAGGCCAAAACACCTGGGGACCCAAAGGTTGAGAACCACTGATTTAGGGAGAGAAGATTGGGTTTCTATCCAGTGCTGTGCTGCTCTTCTTAGCCTGGTTGTCTTGCTTTCATTAACAGAGGAAAATGCTTAAATCTGAGTTCTTTTGTTACCCATAGTGGGGATCCTTTTTCAGTCTCAGTCCTAAATTCAATCTCAGAGAAGTTCTAGTATGAAGTGGCCATTAAAAATATTAGTATATTTTAAGTACAGAGTCTTACTGTCAGTAACCAAGTCTTAGGAGAAAAAAATTAATCTTCTAGAATGTGCGAAAAAACAAAAAAGTTAGAAAACCACAAAAGTTTAGGAAAATGGATTTGTGGCCATCTGGGAAAATCGAGATTCACACAAAGAGACTGAGGCTGCCCACTCTAATTTTCAAATGTCTTGGTTTGGCACAGAGAACTCTATTTAATCTACTCTTGGGCTACAGAATGAGAAAAAATAAGTGAGAAAATACAAGCAATTTCCACATTAAAATAAACTCGACAGCCCTCATTTTTTAATACTAACAAAGGTGTATGAAAAGTGTTCATATGTACTGAAACTATTTTCCAATTTTGTTTCTGCCCAGTAAGGTTGTCAACATGCTGCATAATTTTAAACAATCAATTTGTGCTTTTATTGTAGGAAGCCCTGTGCTGAATATGTGTCTAGTGTTCTGCATCAAGGACATTTCCAGTGAAATGAGTGGACTTGTCTTGCTGGTCATATAAAATAACTTTCACTTGGTGACTCTGCCCACATGGAATATCAGTTCCCTGGAGCACTTTGCTTGGGACTGCAAGCTCCAAGTAGAGGAAACCCATTAAAACAATTGCTGAATGGTAAATATGTAAAATGAATCCCACTAGTTGGAACAACAGATAGGATTCAATTTTATGTGAACAGCAAGGATGGCCACGCTTTATATGCCCTTGTCACTGCGTGGGTTAAAAAAAAGAGCTGTCCCTTTAAATTTTTGGTACCAACTTGATCTATAAACCAATATTTCACAAATCTCCATCTTTTCATGTTTCAAAGCAGCGGTAATATGATGTAATCTTGTGAAGCTTGTGAACACAAAAATGTATTTTTACAAACAGTTTGTGGAAAGAATGAAGAGTGGTTTTATTTGCTGAGAAATGCCTGACTTTACAAGGATATCATCAAAGGTGCAAATGTGTCCCAACTGCATTATCACTTTTTGCTCTGCTGCATCAGCACACTCTTTTATTGCAGGAGTTAAGAGTCCAGATGCACAGAGTCATAACACATGGCACAATCTCTGTTTCCCTATTTGGAAAAAGAAATGATGGAAGGGGTCTAAGCCATGGGTGTGTCTAAAAAAAGAGAGCTAGGAACAACTAAGTGATCTGGTCCTCGTAGGCCTCTTCCACACAGCTGAATAAAATCCCACATTATCTGCTTTGAACTGGAATATATGGCAGGATGGACTCAGATAACCCAGTTTAAAGCAGATATTGTGGGATTTTCTGCCTTGATATTCTGGGTGATATGGCTGTGTGGAAGGGCCATCTGTTTTCTTTCTTTATAATAAGAAATTAAATTATCAACATTAAAAGCTGTTCCTATTTTCTTATTTATTTTTTAACCTCAAGAAATGGGGCTACAAAGTGGAATCCACAACATGCGAGTGTGGAGAAGAGCAAACCACTGGCCACCGGCTGCAATGCAACCTGAGCCTCGCCACATTCACAATGGAGGACCTCCTTGCAGCAACACCAGAGGCACTCCAAATGGCCAGATACTGGTCAAAGGACATTTAATCAACTACCAAGCTTGCAAACTCTGTTTTGTCTGTTTGTTAAAAATTTGTTAAAAATGTAATACAATTGTCTGGTTGATACTGACACAATAAATAAATAAATTTATTAATTAATTCTCTAGTTCAAAAGTGGAGAAAGTTCAGCTCACATATGGGCTCACTGCCATTTTTGAAACCAACCCTTACATAAATTGCTGGCAGCCTTTGTTATCCCTGGAAGGGCTCAACAACAATAGTTGCCTTACTATTTCTTGGTGCTTGATCATTTAGTCTGATTGCTAATGCTAGAGGAGGTTCAACAACATGGGAGTCTTTGTGGTTCGTTTTGCCAGATCATTTTTACGGAGGAGGGTCAACTCCCAGTTTCAAGTTCCCAGCAAAGTATGCAAATGTCCATATAAATTTTTAATTTATTCAACATGTAAATTATCTGAAGCTTTTCAAAAGACTGAGCATCCCTGAATGTGCATTGAACTGAATGAATGGCTGGCTGAAGAAGATGCAGCAAGAAGTAAGGTATATTGGTCCATTTGGAAATGTAGGAATGGTTGGTTTGCCTAACAGCATCTATGCCAGGTTCATGCCTATGAACTGCTAATCCAGTATGTTACCTAATCAAGCATTAAAAAGGCTGCCCAGAATTGTTAGACACATTTTTTACACTTTCCTTGCTTTCTCCCTACGGCTGAGTTCTGACCTTTATAATTGAAAACTCTCCTTTATTAAATGTTAACATCTGAGATTATTCTGGATCTGCTGGCCTACTACTACTGAATAACCACTGAGACCAACATTACCAGGAGAAGAGGATTAATGTCTAATTCTGGCCCACTGGAATAAAACATTAAAAAAAGAATAAAGCAGAAGAATCTGGAATGCCTAATTGAAGAATAGTTTCTCTTTGCTTTTGCTATCTGATTGGAAACATGACAGTAAAGCAACAGAATTATTAAGATGCTGTGTAAAAAATTACCTTCAAGCTATGTGTATAAAGTGTATATGAAACATAAATGAAAGTAGTGTTGATTCCCACCACTGAGATATTTCATTATGTAAGTAGATACAAATGCAGATATTCCAAAATCAAAATAAATAAAAACAAATACCAAAATCCCACGCATTTCAGGTAAGAGATGCTCAACTTGTATCAAAACATATCACTTCTGGCCATTTCTGTGCATGAATCTATAAAACATGAGTTGGGAATATCCCAAGTTTGAGACCTACCCTATTATACCAGCCAAGTCAAGCAATATATTAGAAAATGCCATGTGTTTGACATGTTTGTACCCCATTTCTGCAGTTCCATGTCGTTCACTGAGTTCCTGCTAGGCTCTTTTCATACACCCAAGCTTGCTCTATATGAATTTTTGGGTCACCACCTTCAGCATATGAAAGAGATAGGTAAAGGTAAAGGTTTTCCCCTGACATTAAGTCCAGTCGTGTCCAACTCTGGGGTGTGGTGCTCATCTCAATTTCTTAGCTGAAGAGCCGGCGTTGTCCGTAGACACCTCCAAGGTCATGTGGCCGGCATGACTGCATGGAGCGCCGTTACCTTCCCGTCGGAGTGGTACCTATTGATCTACTCACATTTGCATGTTTTCAAACTGCTAGGTTGGCAGAAGCCGAGGCTGACAGCAGAAGTTCACACTGCTCCCTGGATTCGAACCTGCGACCTTTCAGTCAACAAGCTCAGCAGCTCAGCGGTTTAACCCACTGCGCCACTAGGGGCTCCTAATGAAAGAGGTACTAAAGGAAATGTTTCAAAAAATCCTCCTGAGGAACCAAGTGTAATTTTGTTTTAAATAAAAGAAAATCTGCTCTGCAAAAAAAGGAAACAAAACAAGTCAGGGATGAAAACAGCAAGGATTTAGAGCCAAGCAAGAGCCTGAAGGTGTTTCCCTCAAGAAGAGATGGCAACCACTTCTCACCTTGCGTGTTAATCTTCTCTTTATTTCCCGTTTTTCTTCCTGCTCCTCTTGCTCATTCCGGGCTAGAAAAGAGTGACAGAATTCTTGATTGTTTGGACATGTAGAATACACATCTCTCAGCAAGTGTTTGAATTTGGGCTTCTTGAAAGCCTTAGCCTTCCCTCTGGGGATCCCCGAGAATGGTGAAGGCTTGTTACCTCTTTGCCAACACATTTGTGTGTGTGCACACCTTACAAAATGTCCAAATCCTTTTTGCTTTGGCAAAGTGTCAGCATGAATTTGATCATGTAACATGACTCAGTTTACACCAGCAATTAGGCAAGGAGCCAGAGCTTTTTCAGCCATTACCACAATGCTTCAGGGTCTATCAGCTTCAGGGAAGGGAAGGACTGATACCATCCCTAGCCTCAACTGAAAAAATATCATCTAGGCAGGCAGCTCCGGTTCAGCCTGGTACAAAATTCTACTTTTATGGAACAGTTTCTGTATGGCTCCTGGAGACACTTTATCCAGAACATTTTCTGTACCTATAGACCACTCATGTATACTGAATACATTAAAGGTAAAGGTTTACCCTTGACATTAAGTCTAGTCATGTTTGACTCTGGGGTGTGGTGCTCATCTCCATTTCTAAGCCAAAGAGTCGGCGTTATCCATAGATGCCTCCTAAGTCGTATGGATGGCATTATTGCATGGAGCGCCGTTACCTTCCCACCAAAGTGGTACCTATTGATCTACTCACATTTGCATGTTTTTGAACTGCTAGGTTGGCAGAAGCTGGGGCTAACAATGGGAGCTCACCCCATCCTGCGGATTTGAACCACTGACCTTCTGGTCAGCAAGTTCTGCAGCTTAGCGGTTTAATCAGCGGCACCACCACGGCCCCTTTATACATTTATACTGAATACATTCGATTCCATTAAATGTATTTGATCTCAGGAAATGTAGCTTTCTATAATATGATTCTCAATTCATATCATCTATAGCAGGATTTCTTAAACTTTTCCACTTGGGAATGCTTTGTCGCAAGAAATGTTTACATGATAATGGGTATATAGATATAGGTATGAAAATCAAACGTTTACTGATAAATCAGTTTTTGCAGCTCTTGCTAAACAGGGTGATTTTCCTTTCTATGAAGTACAGCTGGAGCAGAGTTCACTGTAAACGCTGCACAGCAGATACATGTAAAGGTCTAAAACAGCCACTAGTTGATGTTCAGAAAACTTTTACTCTTGCCAGAGGCTGGAAGGCCTTCTGTCGGGGGTGCTTTGAACGTGATTTTCCTGTTTCTTAGCAGGAGGTTGGACTGGATGGCCCACAAGGTCTCTTTCAACTCTGTGATTCTAAGGAATTGCACCCAACTGCAACTAGTTGAGAAATATATCCACCTCATTTGTATCTTTGCAAACATGTATGTCTTGGGCTTTAAAAGTCTTGCAAATTTGTCAGATTAAATATTTGTTTGGCACATCATTATCATCATCAATATTTTACAATGGTGGTAATGTTACTGTTTTAGACAAGAAATGTCTGTGGGAAGGCAGTTTTGTGATAGTTGAATGAGTCAAATTTCAGCCAGTTTCTAATTTCTCCAATCCCGCACTCAGTTAATTCCAAACTTTAAATATGTTTTTAAAAGGCATTTGGATCCATTTTTGTGCACTCCCCCTCTCCCCAATACAAGCATTTTCATATGCTATTTTGCCAAATGTAAATATATTTAAAGCATTGGTCCTAATATAGTAATTCCTAATATACTTAATTCCTGGGTGCACTTTCTGCTAATATATGTATCTTGCTTGAAGGACTTCATTACAATATGCAAATTTAGAAGAATTACTGAATTTTGCTCTACAAACCAAACTGGGACTCAGTTCCACAGTATTAAAATCATACATGCTTGAATACATCTTTCTTTAAAAAAAGAACTCTGATATTAGATCCATTCAATCTGTTGTAAGACCTATTTATTTCATTGGAATTTGTTTTCTGTTATATATGCATATGAACAATATCTGATAGCAACAGAGTTTTATTTAAACTTTATTTCCCCCATTTAATTATTCATAGCAAAACAATAGAAAGCATTTTCAGATAAAATATATGTAGATTTTTTTCAGGCTGAGATATTTATTTATTATTTATTTATTTACGGCATTTATGTGCCACCCTTCTCACCTCAGAGCTGCTTTCAAGATATATATATATACATACAATATTATTATTAGCATAGCGCCATATCAGTATTATATATTACTATATTGCACTATGCAATTATAGTGATATATTGCACTACACCGTTATACTGAGATAGGATGTAATTCAGCATAATTCAAGTTGTAGTGCAAATAAACCACAAGTAGGCAAATAAACCTACTGTGCTATAAACCAGGCCTGTAGCCAGGATTTTGATTGGGGGGGGGGGTTGAGTTTGCGGGGGGGGGGGGGGAGGGAGTGAGGATCTATCCTGGCAAACCTTTTGTATCGTTATCCCAATAACCCCATGCATATGGGATATATTGAGCATGGTGATCGGATCATGATATGAATAATCATAAGTTTAAATTATTTGTTGTGAACCGCTGTGAGTTGCCTTTGGGCTGAGAACAGCGGTATATAAGTAAATAAATAAATAAATAAATAAATAACGTACCAGTAAGGCCTTCTTGTGGACCACCCTGAGAATTTGGGGGGGGGGGCTGAAGCACCCCAAGCCCACCACCCTGAGGGGGGGGGGGGGACTGAAGCCCCTCAAGCCCTCCCCCAGCTACATGCTTGGCTCCACTTAAACTATTTGTCTTTTCCCATAATTTTCTTTTTAAAATATTATCCTTCACATAATTGCTAGAAGGAACTGGTTCCTTTGGAATCTGCAACTTAAAATGTTTGGCCAAAGCTGCAAAATCCTGTGCGTATTTCCCTAGAAGCCAGTCAGATATTTGATGGAACTTGCTCTGGGAGATAAGTATGGGTTTGTGCTAATAATTGTTATGGAACTATACAATGGATTTGTTTTGGACAATAAGTACCTTGATAAGAAATAGAACATGGAAGAGCAGTGGAGGCAAAGAGGGACCCTTGGTCCAAACAAGGCTTTGGGGATAACTCCTGTTGAAAGGTTTTCTTCCCATCTCCCTTGCCCTCTCACAATCTTTGAATTCAAGCATATAGCTACTCACGTTTAAGAATGTTCCTCTGCTCCAATTCTTCAGCCGTTGGCCTCTGGCTCAGTCGTCTGCGGAAAAAGCCCAGGATCAGTTTCTGGACCATATCATGCCCTCCAACATTTAGTGTATACAAAAATTACTTTTTGCCCTCATCAACTGCAAAAACCAAAGATGGTGCATTGGTCTCATGCACATACTGGTGGGTATTGGCATTATCAAGAATAACATGCCCTGGTAAATTTCTTCTCTTGCCAGTAGATCAGAGACCAATCATCTTGAGGCATAGTAGGCATGTGTCTTCTCCTCTATCTTAGGTTAAGCAGTGGATAGTTAGAAGATGCAGATTTCCTTCCTTCCTTGCTAGCTTCCTAACTCTCGTATGACAAGTATAGTTTTGTGTTCTTCCTACCCGACACTTATGTGAGCCTCCAAGCTACACCCTACTTGTCCAAAGGAGCTGTGGAAACAAAGGCAGCTAATAGTTTAGAAAAACAACTAGGCATGGTTAGCTTGCCCAGAACAATAGTGCTGCTTCTTTGCCCCCTCAGTCCTCCCTTTCCCCCAAAGAATCTTTATTTGGTTTCATAATGATACAATTAACAGTCATCAAACCCGTCTGTTGGCCAACCCATCACCTAAGCTACAACCAATAGCATGCAAGGTGTAAAAGATGACTAGGAAGTAACTGCACTCCAGAATGGAGCAGGGAGAAAGGAGAATTAGGAAACAAAAGGTGGCTATGTCAGTTCTACATTTAATAAAAGTTTTGTTCTGATTTCACTGTTCTTAATTCTTCCACTGAGGCTTGAGATCACAATTTAATTCTTCATAGGTAAATGATACTGCGTGTATCATTGTCACCAAGAGATAAGGTGTGCAGAGTCCACTGGGATTGCTGGTCCCAGTTAGCCCCAGTGGGGAAAGATACTCTTCTCCCATTTGTATGCTGAGAGTGTCTGCTGGTGTGACAGCAAGTGAGATTTCTGACTCTGACAAACAGCCATCCCGAGGAAGTGTTTTATTAAATGTCCCAACACTGTGTATCACAACGTTGGGACACTGGATCATATGTGGTGGTCTTGCAGAAAGGTCCAGAAATATTTGACTCAGATGCATAAAATGCTGGAAGAAATTGTTAAAGGTCAAAATCAGAGTTTTATTTGTTGGGAATACTGGATGACCAACTAGAAAGGAAATTTGGACGATTACTACAGTATATGATAACTGCAGCGAGAATTGCCTATGCTGAGAGATGGAAGAAATCAGTTATCACAATGCAAAAAAAAAAAATGGCTGGGAAAGACCTACGAACTAGAGATGGATAAACTAACTATGCTGATTAAGGAGAAATCTTTAATGAACTTCAAGAAAGATTGGGACTTGTTCATCACCTTTTCACAACAACGCTGAGGGAAAATGCCAACTGAAGAATTTATGAATTAGATTAGTGTTACCAAAAGTAGAAGTGTGGCTATATATAGTATTATTTAAAGGGTGTTGCATAATAAGGAAGAAAAATCAACAGATAGTAAGGTTCGTAGAACTCACTTTGTGTTTGTGGGCTATTATAGTTTGAGTATATCAATGTAGGTAAACATAATGTCAGTGTGTTTGTCTTTGTTATGTCTCCATAGTAGATTGTAGAACCTAGTTAGATAGCTGTATCGTTTGAGTAATACACCATTATTCTAACCTTCTTCAATATAATTGTGCTTATGTATCCTTCCAATAATAATAGAGAGTAAAATAATAAATGTAATAAAACAATAATATGGTAAAATATTAAATGTAATAATAATAAATAGAGAAAAATAATAAGTGTAATAATAATAGAGTAAAATAATGTAAATGTAAGAATAATAATAATAATAATAATAAAGTAAAATAATAAATGTAGTAAAATAATACTAATATCAGTAAAATAATAAATAAGCTTGGTCAGGTATAAGCTGCGGGGAGCTTTTTCAGACTAAACAAGGGTCTGAAAAACTAGGCCTATACTTGAGTATATACAGTATATTTTGTATTTTTCTTTTACGATTTTTTATTCTGAATAAAAATAGTTTTAAAAAATCACAGCGCACTATGATGTTGATAAAGCCCTTCAATAGCTGCTATAAAGCATTATCCCACAGTGAACATATGAGGCACCACACGCCTAAACTCCAGCACTTCGACCTTGCAATCTATTTAGACTGTGCAAAGAGGAAGTTGAATAACAAACTAGATGTAGTTATGTCCGCTTGGTTTTGCCTCTTGTGATTCTGTCCTCGAATCCAACAACCTTGCTGGACTGATGTGTTAAATGTGTGCACTGCATCTAAACCCAGCATGAAATAAAAAGAGAACCAGTTCTTCATCTAGTTTTGAATTCTGAAAGTGCTAAAAGGGTGAGGAACACAACACATGAATTCCAAGTGACCTGGTACTCAGTGCATGCTTTGCAAGAAAAGAGCTCTCTTTGGGTAATCATGGTAATTATTCTTACAGTACAGCCACTGTTACAAAATAGGATGTTTAGAGAGTTCACCTTAGGACTGTAAAGCAATTAGGATATGCGGTTTTATCTGGCCATGGTTGGGAATAAAAGTATAAAGCTACACAGTTCAGTACTGTAATGTGTAGCTCCATTGTAGCCTTGCAACGTGTGGCAATGTGTTACACAACGGCTTTTTCAGGAGCCTCATTAGGATTGTTTGTAAGAAGAAAGAATGCAGATGGCATATCCTGGCTATGAAGGAACTATTTTCAAATCAAAGCAAGATTAAGGGGAGGAAAGAGGGAGAGAGACCGAAACCTGCCCAAAAAGCAAAAGAAACAAATTCTTTCATGGATCAACTGAAAAATACAATTCAGTTCATTTTAGTGTCGGTCATGAAGGTAAATATTCTGATGTCACACATACTCTAGCAAAAGTTTCCAACAGTCAAGAGTGACAATAAAGTTGACAAGGCATAGAGTAAATCCAAGAATGTAGAAAGTCATCCTGGTGTTAAATTCCCCCCCCCCCCAGGTTTGTAACACGATTCTTGGACTCAGGATATGACATCCTTAAACAACTACTAGGATGCCAATATCTGATCATACGTTGCCTTCTAGTCCCAGTGCTACGATGAATAGTATATTAATGTATCTGAGAAATAAAATTCTGAGAGTGTCCTGGACTGCAAGAAGATCCAACCAGTCCATACTTCAGGAAATAAAGCCCGACTGCTCATTGGAGGGAAGGATATTAGAGGCAAAGATGAAGTACTTTGGCCACATCATGAGAAGACAGGAAAGCTTAGAGAAGACAATGATGCTGGTGAAAATGGAAGGAAAAAGGAAGAGGGGCCGACCAAGGGCAAGATGGATGGATGTTATCCTTGAAGTGACTGGCTTGACTCTGAAGGAGCTGGGGGTAGTGACGGCCGACAGGGAGCTCTGGTGTGGGCTGGTCCATGAGGTCATGAAGATTCGGAAGTGACTGAACGAATAAACAAAACATCTGAGAAAGCAGCCATTTTCATATCCTATAACACCCTGAAGCACTGTTACAACAGGGGCATTGTGGGAAAATTAGTTGATGGGCATATGGATACAATGGCATGGCAGTAACTGCAGTTGCCTATTCTCCTCCTCCAGCTTCCCAACAATACCAAGGCTTCCCTGAACCCATGAGGTTAACCCTGAGATCACACGATGTAACCATGCAGATTCTTTTGTCATCAAGTTGGCTTCAACTTACTTATGAATGAGGGGACTTTCAAGACACCCCACTATTAAACTCAATATCAAATGATATCACAGGGTCATTAGTTTAATTGTGTTCCCATTGTGCTCTAAACCACAATAATCCAGGTAGCTGAAAAAAGAATGTATTTCTGTTGGGAAAATATAGCTTACAACGCTCCTGCAATATAGGAGATATATTTCAGAAACTGAAGCTCTTCCTTGGAAGAAAGACATCAAATCCCCCTTTGTTCACATGGAAAAGCAACAAGAATTCCATATTGCGCCTTTTCTACTCTTGTACAATAAACTGAAGGCTCAGAACAGCTGTCTGGAGAGTTTACATGGCGATGACAGCTATCCTTCAAAAATCTGAATAGGCATAATGAGCACAAATTAGTCCTCAAGGGATCAGTCAGTGTAAAGCCTGCCTCTCATGCTTCAGACAAAACAATAAAAGCAGCAGAAACTAAGTTTGGAAGTAGAGAGCTTATCAAACAATGAATAATATTAGTTATGTGGCAGCCATGCATAAGCAATGTGTGGATCCAAATCCTAACATCTGGGGGTACTTAATTCTCTTTCTGTGGGTTCTCAGAGCTGAACCTAGACTGAGAAGCAGCCATCAATTTCACTTCCACACAAAGATGAGAAGAATAACCAAGGGCTTTGATGGATCTGTATAATTCATTTTGGGAGTCAGAGCAGAGGCAAAGAAAACACAGGGATGACAATCCTTGTATGCTGTTTGTTTGAAGAAACTACTATATATACCAAACGAAATGGACTGGAGATTCTCTGCTTCTTTCAAAATTAATGGCATGTTGAACTAGGGATCAAAAAGCTGCAGAAAATTCTTATCACTACCTGGATGAGAGACCACTGCCTATCTGGGTTGCACCTCAGCTTAGCCCATGAAGGAAGAAAATTAGGACATAAATGTATAAAAACAAATCTGATCTATGCAAAATTCTCTACTGCAATCTGAAATACTGTATTATAGCTTCCTATGAGCTTATGTTTGCGCCCCCCACACACAATTTTTAACCAGATTTTTGAAAAACAAAAACAGACAGATCAAAAACAGAACATGTCCCAAGTCATAATTAACTTCAGACAAACACATTAAGATTCTAATTAAATTTGAATTGCCTTTCCCCTGAAAACAGGAGCTCTGATTATTCATCCATCATGAAACTAAGGGCCTTTCCACACAGCCTTATATCCCAGAATATCAAGGCAGAAAATCCCACAATATCTGCTTTGAGCTGAGTTATCTTAGTCCACATTCAGATAATGTGAGATTTCCTGCCTCAACATTCTGGGATATAGAGCTGTGTGGAAGAGCCCCATGGCAGTTACCTGCCTTAACTTAAGACAGGAAATTTAAAACATTTCCCCAAAATAAGAAATAAAGGCTTTAGCTCAGAAACATCACTCGATATTATGGACACTTAAGACTGTCACTTGCTCGCCACTCTTGGCCATTGGCCATGCTGGCTGAGACACACAAAAGTCAGAGGCTAATAACAATTTTGGACAACTGAAGTTCAAAGGGATGGAAGGGTTGTTAGATGCATAACTGAAGTTGACCCCAATTGTTTTCTTAAACTATTTCTCCTCTTGCAAAGGATAAAGCAGACTGAAAGAGTAATGCGACAAGTGAGAGACTAAGACTTGAGACTGGGAACAGAAGGTAAAGGAGGGAGCATTGCTTCCTCTTTTTAAGCTTTTAAATTTCCTGCTCAAGTTGGATGACTAAGCTCATTACAAGGCCCATGGGTTACAATCCAGCTAAAATTCAGCCTCTTTCAATTTTGTTGATTACAAGGAAGAAGAGGTAAGGTTATTATCTCAGGGCTTTGGGGAACGGTTAGAATGATACACTTTTAAAAAATATCTTGGAGGGAAGACAAGAAATACAGTCATCAACCACCTACGGAATGATTGAAGACAACTGAAGAAATATAAGTGGCACAGAATTAAAAGGTGACGTCTTGCTCTCTGCAGGTCAGCACATGGTTCTCACCTTGTCAGCTTGGTCCCTATTTGTTGCCTTAGCTCCAGCCTCTCCTCATCAGTCTGCATAGGGAGGATGTTCTTCTCCTCCAGCTCCCGTTTGGATGGCCGGTTGCTAAGTTTGATGGCTAAAGAATCTTTCCTGCAGACTTTCATGGCAAGGGAACCTAAGGTTGAAAGAGAGAGAAAAAAAATGGAAAACCACTTCTCTTAAATGATACCAAAACACATTTGTGGTGGGGGGTTTTTTGGTTGGGAATGGCTTCGTTTTTAAAGTAAAATTTTAATCTTCCTTATTTTTTGAAAATAATAATAATAATATTCAGCTGTGTGCAAGGGGGTGGAGTCACACTGTTCCTCCTTAGTTAACAACTTTTTTTAGTCTCACTAACCATTCCAGGGACTCTAAGAACAAATGTAGGAGCAGAGGCTTCCATGGTTCATACTGTGGTGATGATGTGCTTTTGAGCACACACATTATTAATTAATTAATTTAAATATTTGTACTCTGTACTGTAGCAAAATATCTCAGGGTGACTTACAAATACTTATCTGCGAACAACTATGCAGGCCACTTTAGAATAGTGCTATCTCACTATAGTGCTATCTCATTATTCTAGCACTCCTGCAGGATCCATAACAAATTCCTGCCCCAAGGACCCTATATATGCTCCATAATTTCACAGATGAAAACAGGGAACCTTGCGGCCAAGCAATAGCAGTGTGTGGTCAAGACTGCAGAAGTTAAAAATAAGGAAGGACATATAAGCTAGGAGAGGCTGCAGCAGTTTGCTTTTCCCCAAGTTTGCAGGGAAGGGAAAAGTGCAATTCTAATACAGTGCCCTTCCACACAGTCATATAACTCAGAATATCAAGGCAGACAATCCACAATATCTGCTTTGAACTGGGTTCTAGTCCACACAGCCATATAACCCAGTTCAAAGCAGATAATGTGGGATTTTATTCAGCTGTTTGGAAGGGGCCACAGTTAAGTTGCTCTGCCCTTCAGGGCTTATTGGGATGAGGGAACCAGTGTAGAAAATGACCTTCCAGAGATTACTATCCTTAAAAACTCCTTAAAGCTTTTGCCAGTTTCGAATTTACAAAGCACAGATGGACACATCAATGGGTGAGTGAACATTGTAGTGGTCTGGCAGTTTGTCTTGTACATCTGGACACTATTGTTGCTATGTATATTTTTTATCCTTTGCCCATGCTGACTTTTGAAAAGTTCACAATACTTACTCATCACATCCCCCTTGGAGCACTTTTGCAGGGCCACCAGGCAACCATTAACAATTATTTTATTCATGACTGTTAAGACTGCTTCTGTGCAGCACGTCTTTGGCATCTATATTAAAAAAATTAATGTGGAGGAGGAGCAGAAGATCCCTTACTTGTAAATAATGAGCTGTCATCATCATCATCTTCATCTTCGTCTTCTTCTTCTCTCGTGTAGAGGCATGAAGAATCTTCATAGTCAGATTCATGAGGCACATTTTCTTTATTGTCATCACATTCGATCACAACGGTTGGCACTTGTCTCATGTCTGAAAGGCCCCCAGGTCCACTTTTTGTGACATTGTCACCCCCATGTAAACCAGAGCTTTGGGAAAAACAAGACAAAAAGAGAGAGAAAGTATTTACATTATTTGCTGCCTAGGAATACAAAATTATTTCAGTTATCTTTCAGAATAAAAACACTTGTAATGGTTTGAGGGTAGTGGGGTGGTTTGGGGACATCTCCACTTCAAACTGTGCAAGGGATTTTTTTTTCTGCTCCCTTTGGATGGGCTCTGGAATAAAAGAAAAACACAACCCAGCAAGTCTGTAGGTGTATCCCATTTGAGCTGGGTAAATGATGAAAGTTATCAGTATCTTGAGTGGTGAGCTTGGGAAAGATCAGACTACCACTACATTACACGGTAGGCAACTTTGGAAGCTTGTGACCCTTGGGATCTGCCACAAGCATCACTGCTGCCCAAAATGCAATGTATTGCTTTTCCCCAAAATAAACTGCCTGATTTTTTTTAAAACCCTGGAAGGAAAACCTGTAGAAAATCTGGTAAAGAACACACACATACACATAATCGAAGAAAGAACAAAGACATACAGTCACACAACCAAGTCCCTGAAATTTGCTACTGCAGAATTCTTCTAAGTAGCAATGCAACATTTTGGAACAATTCAAAAAACTTGGGCAGAGGGTTGGGGGGAAAGTTGCATTTTTGAACTATGTGCTGCTCACCCCTGTTTGTGGTTCAAATCTGGGGAGTGGGGTGAGCTCCAGCTGTTAGCCCCAGCTTCTGCCAACCTTACAGTTCAAAAACACGCAAATGTGAGTAGATCAATAGGTACTGCTTCTGTGGGAAGGTAATGGTGCTCATTGTAATCATGCCAGCCACATGTCCTTGGAGGCATCTACGGACAATGCTGGCCCTTCGGCTTAGAAATGGAGATGAGCACCACTGCCCAGAGTCAGACACGACTAGACTTCCCAGAGGACTTGGTCCATTGGGTAAAAAGTGATCTCTATTTGTTATATTGTTATCATTATTACATTACACTTCAAAGAGATTTGGTATCAACATTTTTATGAGTGTATAGCAATAGGGTAGAGTAATGGGATTTTATCTTTGCTGGGCATATTGAACAGAGGGAATGGGTACCAGGAGACATTCAAATTTTACACCATGGGATATGAAAGACTGATGATAAGTAATTTGGCTGGAAATGTTGGCATTTGATTCGATTTATAAAAAAATCTTAATGACACATAATGTGTCATGGTTCCTTAATTTTTTTAATTTCATCTATGGTATGCTTCACTACTTTAATTAAATCAACTTCTTTCCATTCTTCCTATGTATTTGTTTTGCTACTCAATTGATAACAAAGAAACTAAAACGTAGCATCTAAAAAGTAATAGCATACACAATTAAAAAAAACTTCAATAAATGTAATGGATGCAATGAGCATAAGAGTTCTGTGCATTGTGTTTCAAGAGTAAGCAATGTGTGATCCTCCTTAATAGATTCCAACTCTTATCATATCCTACCACTTTCTTTTCGTGACAAGAGCAACTTGAGAAACTGCAAGTCACTACTGGTGTGAGAGAATTTACTGTCTGCAAGGATGTTGCTCAAGGGATGCCTGGATGTTTTACCATCCTGTGGGACGCTTCACTTATGTCCCCACATGGAAAGCTAGAGCTGAGATGGGAGCTCACCCCTCTCCCCAGATTCAAACTGCTGATCTTTCAGTTTAACCCATTGTGCCACAGGGGGCTCCACCCTACCACTGATTTTGATAAGAATTGAAATCCAACAATATTTGGAGGGTCATAAGTTGCTTATACCCATTGAACATGCATGAATATAAATATTTGCTTAATATCTATGTAGAATCAAGACCAGAAAGGACTGAAACCATATTGCCTATTTTCTTCAATGACAGGAACATGTTAGGTTATCTATGGAACCATGTCTTCATTTAACTAGGGACTATTGTAGAAGCATGGCTACGAAACCCACGTCTCCATTTGGTCATACAACTGGTTCTGTTCACCTGCAGAGCGTGGAAACGTTATATTTTGGACTACAACTGCTTCATTCTGGACAACAGCCATGCTGACCTGGAAGCTGTAGTCTGCAAAGTTCAGTAACCTTTCCAAACTCTGGGTTGGTTGTACGTATTCTAAGAAAGTAATTAAAAGTAGTCATAGGTAATGACTGGATTTTGAGCTTGTGTTACTGAAAGAAAAGAAAAATAATCTGGGATATGGTAATCAGAAGAAGAAGCAGTTACTAATTGCTTCTGCAAAACCGTTCAAGGATAGATTAGAAGAAAAATCCCAATTTCCTTTGCAAAAGTCCCTAGAGCTGGTTTCCACATGTGCAGTTGGACTTTTCGCAGCCATTATGATGAAGACATAAAGCCTCTGAATAGATATCCAGATATTCAGATATCTAGGCCAATCTTATTATCTTTCTAACTATCACCCACTCCTGATTAAAGTTACTTGTTGGTTTGACTGTTTGGCTTGAGATCATAAATAACAACAACAACAACAGCAACAAACCTGTCAAACTACTCTGGAGCTTCCGAATTCGGACTGACAGAGTTTTGGAGCACAATACTTCTGACCTCACAATCGTGTTAAAAAACCAATTATGGATAGTCGGTGTTGCAACCCCAGGTGGCAGCAGGATTGAAGAGAAACAACTGGAAAAGCTGACACGATACAAGGATTTAAAGATCGAACTGCAAAGACTCTGCCACAAGCAAGTGAAGGTGGTCCCAGTGGTGATTGGCACACTGGGTGCAGAGCCTAAAGACCTTGACCTGCACTTAAACACAATCGGCACTGACAAAATTACCATCTGTCAGCTGCAAAAGGCCACCCTATGAGGATCTGCATGCATTATTCGCTGATACATCACATAGTCCTAGACACTTGGGAAGTGTCCAACGTGTGGTCCAATACAACAGCCAGCATAATGATCTTGTTTGCTGTTTACTAATCTTGTTGTGTTTCAAATAACTTTATTTGTATTCCGCCCTATCTCCCTGAGGGGACTCAAGGTGGATGCAGGGCTTGGAAGATTTGATTTCCTACTTCACCGTGGAAACCCACGGTAAGTTACACACTCTCTGTCCTAGAAAAACCAATGATAGACTTGCATTAGTGTGGGCAGAAATGATAACAATAAAAACAAACAGTGATGATGAATTCCCAACAATTACGACTTTATATCCCAAATTGCATATGTGAAATAAAATACCCAATTCCTAAAACTTTTCTAGTAAATCATAGCCTTTAATATTATGCTTTCTATATACAGCCATCCAGCCACACTTAGTGGTTTGACAGATTCCTAGATGGTGTTATTTTAAGTGGAAAAAAACCATTCATTTTTCAATTTGTGGGTTTCCTATTTTTATGGGGGTCATGTGCCCTCAACTCCAGTGAATGTGCAGGGTAGAATATCTGAGCTACCTTATGACATCAGCAATTAGGGCCAAGTGTACATTTACACCCTAAACAAATCACAATCTGCAAGCATTCATTTTTGGCTGGAAAGCACTGAAGATGACATTTTCTCCAAACCATGGCACAAAAGACGATTTCCCCCAATCTCTATTCCCTCACATATTTCAGTTTCCTTATTATAAAAATGCCTGCCGAAGTTTCATACCTTTGCTTTAAAGTGAAAGACAACAAAACATCCAAATTGTGTTCTTAACTATTCAGATCTTCTTAAAAAGCTTAAGCACTTTCATTATAATATTCCGCACATATGGTGCACATATTTACCAAGCAATGCGTACTATCTTCAATCAGGCTTACTCTCTAGTTGTATATTGAGGATTATAATGTATATTTTTTCTGTTTGACATATCATATAGACATGTGCAGTTTCCAAGCAGTTAAAGCTTGATGCAACACTGTAATAGGCTTGTTTGATGCTTCCTCTGAGACGAGGAGAACAATAAATGGAAGTGCTGTCAATGATATTTAGATGAGACACTGTTTTCTGTTTTGCACAACCCGTGTCTTAAAAATGAAACATATTTCATCTGAAATATCTACACTAATTCCCTTAAAGATATTAGCACATTTACCAGCACAGAACAACCCAAGAAAAATAACTGAAATGCATCAAGAGGTATTGGCTTTGCAGATGCTTTTTCACTTGCATTTTGAAGAAAAAAACCACTTACTTTTGCAGAGGAAGCAGTAATCTAATCTGATGGTTACTGAAGTTAACAGGCATCTTCTTAATAGTAAACATAAAATCATTGGGATATTGTTCAGGAACAAAATGGCTTGCTTATGGAGAACAGTCTGGGGCTCTGTACCCTTTCCAGTAATTTTTTCCCCTTCGGCACTTCACCAATAAATTCAAAATGTTCCAACATTTCGTGAATTCATGTAAATTGGGCATATTTGTTTTGCACTGCTTGCAATATTTTTGGAAAACCTTGTTTTATGTGACATAAAAAGTGCAGAGATGAGAATGAAGAAAAAATGGCAGAGTGGCAATAGCTTTAGATGACTAGAAAATTCTGCCAAATTATTATTATTATTATTATTATTATTATTATTATTATTATGTTTATTTATATCCACCTTTTTCTCTCCTTAGGGAGACTCAAAGCAGCTCACAATTAAAAACATTACAACACCACTTAAAGTACACAAATATACAAATATCAAAACAGTATTAAACATCATTAATATTAAAACCAATTCAGGTTAAATTCACAGCAGCCACTGACATGATCTTAAACACCTTCTTCTGTTTGAACAAAAAGATTTTAGCCTGCCATCAGAAGGACAGCAGGAAGGGGGCCATTCTGGCTTCCCTAGGCAAGGAGTTCCAGAGTCGATTGGCAGCCACTGAGCGAGAAGGCCCGCTCTCTCGTTCCCACCAACCAAGCTTGAGATGGAGATGGGACTGAGAGAAGAGCCTCTCCTGAAGATCTCAGGGTCTGGGTAGGTTTGTACAAGGATATACAGTCAGGCAAATTGCTTGGATCTGAACTGTCAAGGGCTTTAAAGATCATAACCAGCACTTTGAATTGTGCTCAGAAACAGACGGT